GTGATTTTTTAAATACTAAAATAATTTGTTTTTTTTTTTATTACTATAAATAAGTCAGATTCATTTTAATTATTAGATTGTTATAATTTTTATTTAAATATTATAAAAACTTTGACGTAATGGATTTTTATGCTAAAATGGGATCAATATACTTAACTAGGATATCATAATTGATTTTTACAGAAAAAGATATCAGTTGACATAATAATTCTTTAAGCAGAATAGTAAAAGAAAATAAGTTAAATTGATACTACATGTCATATTCTAAACTCTACCAATTCCAAGCTATAATATGGAATCAAGGATAAAATAATAAAAAGACAAAACTAAAGATTAATGGTAACTATAGTATATTTTTATGTGATAAAAGCAATCACATATGCATACAAAATTACTAAAAATTTTGGCAATCTTAAAAGCAAACATAAAAAAAAGTATGATAAACATGATATATATATATGAGATCTCAGCCTACATTATTTGATAGACTTAAAATAATAAAAAGACAAAACTAAAGATTAATGGTAACTATAGTATATTTTTATGTGATAAAAGCAATCACATATGCATACAAAATTACTAAAAATTTTGGATGAAAATTCATTCTAAAAATTCCTAATTTTACTCAAAAATTAAGTTATAGTATAAAATATTCAAAAAATATTATCATTTATTTTTTTTTATTTTATATTTTAATTGAGCCGAGATCAATCTTTCTTCACCTTTATCTTTTTATTGGGCAATTCTAGAGTAGCGTCTTCATCATCTACATCAGTTGTGATATCATGTTAGAGTTGAATTTTTTAAAAATAATCTCTTCAAATAATAAAGTCTAACACCAAAATTAACTCATTTGTCTTCTGCTCCCCCTCAAAAACCATAGCCCTAATCCATGAAATGGGTTTATACATAATGAAGAACAAAAGACAATGTCAAGAGACAAAAAAGAAAAAAGAAGGAATTGAATAAGAATCACTAGGTTAGTACATGATAAAGAGCAAAAGACAAGATAAGAGTCCAGAAATATATTAAGATGTACTTGAATCAATTAAATTATATTATTACTCATAATTGATATGCAAAAGTGACAAAATGTGTTTACAATCTTAAACTACAAAACAGACTGTATGGGCCATCTAACATAATTTTTTAATGCAAGAAACCCCCAAGATTAATTTTAAAAATCTATTTGTTTTATGGAAAAGTTTGGGTGTAAAGAACAAATATTAAAATATCTAATCCGATTAAAGTAGGATCATATAAGTTAACCTTATACATGAAATTTATTTTAACCAAAACCCATATATAAGTATTATAATTGGCATTGAGATCAAAGATACGTGTGAGATTCTCTTTAACTTTTATACAAACAATATCTATTTAAATAATAATAGTATAATTAAACTTTGAGATCTGAAAATAAATCAAACATATAATATAATTAATTATTTTAAAATTATATAATCTAATCTAATAATAAGAAAATAGATGAAAGTATTGTGAAAGTTGTTGCAATTTTATAATTCATAATTTCTAAACAATCTAATCTATTTTAATAAGAAGAAAATAACAAAGACACATAATTATTGAATGAGATAAAAGTACTGTGAAAATTATTGTAATTTATTGATCTGAAAAAAAGATCAAATATACAATATAATTAATTGCTTTAAAATAATCTAATCTAATCTAATAACAAAGGTATATGCCTGTAGAAGGAGATAAAAGTGTTATATAAATTATTGTAATTTCTTGGTTTATATATATTGGTATATGATGTTACATGTGAGAGGATAACAATTATAAATAGAGTTCTATTTAAATAATAATAGTATAATTAAAATTTAAAACAAACTATGCAGTACTTTGAACTACTTTAATTTTAGTCGGTGAGAGATCACCACTTTGTGTGTAATTATTAACCATATAGCATGTGAATAATTATTTACAGATTGTCATTATTAATCATGTAGCACGTGAATAATTATTTGCAGTTTGAGCATTGATCACATATAAGAGCGAGGGGGTAAATTTGATATTTAATAAATCGTCTGATTAACTTAAGTGTATCTTGAACTACTTGAATTTTAGTCGGTGAGAGATCGCCGCGTTGTGTGTAATTATTAATCATATAGCATGTGAATTATTGTTTGCAGTTTGATCATTGATCACATATAAGAGCGAGGGGGGTAAATTTGGCATTTAATAAATCGTCTAATTTTCCTAAGTTGCTCTTTCATTCAGGTTTACATTTCAATTTAAACTATATCTTTATCTCCATACTATGTATATCCAATAAGAATTCATTAATTTATCAATTTACGTATACTCTTACTTAATGGATTAGTATTTGAATTCCAATGGTATTTTTGTCTACTAAAAGATTTTCTCGAACTCGTACTTTTAAAAGGAGTATGATGTGTGTGTGTGTGTAAAAGTCAAATGGGGAGAAGTAAATTCATGAGTTTATGAACGTGGATAAATAAGTTCATAACAGATTGAAGCTAGCTATATATGCTTTGTTTCATGGACGTAAAAGCCTCTGCGTAAAAGCTGGTCACGAATGGTTGCTTCTCGTTTCTGATTGTTCCAATTCCTTTGCCTCGAGGATCCTAGTTAACCAATTTGTTGTCGGACTTACGTTTTCCTACCTTCATCAATATTTTTCCCGTTGCCCACTTGCCTTGTTCATAGTCCTCCAACAGATCCTACAGCTCGCACTCGGGTCCGCTGATTGTGTTACGAGTAGCTTTCCCGTTGAGCTCTGTCATGAAAACTTCACTATTTCCTTTCCCACCAAGTGAAGCAGTCTAACTACCGTGGAGCTTGAATCCGTGCCTTGACCAGGATCACCATAATTAGGCATCATATGAAATGTATCCATTGAGGAGACCTGTATCATCACCAATGCAAAAAAAACAAAAACAAAAAACAGTTCCCGCCAATACTCATCACAATTGATTTTGTTGTCATCATGGAATTTAAAGGAGATGATTTCGCTTCCAAAGATATAGTTGACGACATCAGGCACCTCGAGAAGGAAAAAAAAACACAGGATTTTGTATTCCATGGTCGAGGGGCTGTACCCAGATGTAACCCGCGTTTCTATTTTTGGCATTGTGGCTATGCCCCTCCAAAAGTCTGGGTCGTTTCCCACATAATACCCCGAAACTTTGTTTCCCCTCGAAAATCCCCAGCTTTGTATTCTCTGTTGTATCTTGCCTCGACCTGCAGCTTTGCCCCGAAACCGTGAATGATAGAATTAACAGCAGTAGAGTTGGTTTTTCCCCCCTCCAGAATCCATGATTTGTTTCAAAGGAAAGCTGAAATCCCCAAAATCAACAAGGCTGAGCTCTGTTGCCCAGGAATTGAAAGTGTCGGACTACTTGAGCACCGTGGTCAGCTTGGTACTTTACGTACTCCGACATGGATCTTGTAAACTTGTGCAATATTACATATCGAACCTACAAGAAGGCCTAAAGGCTTATTACAGGACCGATACTCGTTCAATCATTGTTGATGGTCTTACTACTAATACAAGTATTATATTGACATTCTTTCAATATTACTGCTAACCGTTACTGACTTTCTTCCTGTCATCATACGGAGCTTTTAATCATGAATTTTTGCAATTTCCATATCAAGAAGTCCCTAGTGTAAAACCATGTTTTAGAGGGGGAGAAAAGTAAAAGTTCCTTCAGTTGGCTGCACCTGCACCAAACAAACCGACAGTGTAACCGTGAGTTCTTCACAGAGAAAGGAAATCCATACCCAACAAAAAGATCGAATTCCATCCTATCATTCAACTCACAATCCTGAAACAGAATTGACGATCAAAAACAAATGTTGTGCAACCTAGCTTTCATTCATTTCTCTGAACACTCGCAATCAAATTTTTGAAATAAGACAATTGCAATAAAATTAACTTTACTTAAAATTTTCAAACAGACAGTAAAACCATTTACAGAAGAAAGAGATGCGCTGCTTGCAGCCTGAAATAGATACACAAAGACTCAATAAGAAAGAACAGTTACATAAATTTAAACAATGGTCAACTAAATAAAGGTACTCTTCCGCATAGGACTAGGCCACCTGACTCTATTCTGTGCCTCTGCTTCACTATCTCATAAAGGAGATCATCACTGCGCTGGAGATCAAGGTAGTCATCCATGTTGAATGACGATCTCTTTGGCCCGTCAGCAGTAGAGAAACCGCTACTTCTCATTTGATGGCTTCTCAGTCCAAATAACTTCCCAGTCACCTCATTGGAAACTGCAGGTGAGTTTTCATTGCCTTCAGGGCTCCAACTCCCAAGACTACTTATACTTGTAGTATTATCACATACGGCTTTTGCTTCCTGAAATCAAAATGGAGTAAGGTACAGCGATTTTTAGTCCTCCAGTTACAGTAAGAATAATGCAGAAAGTAAAGGATGCGATATTCTCTAACTGCAAACATATCAATATCCCTCCTCGTGTAAGTCCTTAGGGTCAAGTAGAAAGGTCTTCAGCATAAACATTAATTTACTTAAAAAGGAAGACTAACGTTGTTATCTAACATCTCTACAAGTGCAAGAACACTTGTAGGCTCTTTTTACTCAACATGAGAAGGAAACAAACACTGACAAAGCTGGCATATGTAGGACACTAGGAGTACCCCTCGTCAAGGCACCAAAAGACATACAGTAAACCATAACAATAGCAATTAAAGTCCTCATAATCTATTAATGTATATCAGCAACATGTGAACAGAGGTTTTATAAAACTATATAGATGAACCATACATAGCAAAAGCACTCCGACAGGGAGCATGCCAAGTGGGCAGCCGGCCATGTCTTAGAATAAGAGGCCCCGCACCACACTCATTTGTATGACGAAAAGGGGTTTGATTATCATATACAACACCCTCCCTTCCTCTCCATAAAGTTACATTTGCATAAAAATTATCAAAACCTAACTTTTAATTTAATGAAGAAGAATACTTGTCTATTAATTCAGCTGATAAAATTGTATACAAGAGCATTTGCATTAGTGTGTGCCCAAATCGAGTCACCATATGTGAGATAGGGTCACAGACAAATCCTTACACATGAAGCAATACCACAATCACTAATTAATCTTTGCCAATATTCCACATTGGAAAGTGTAGTGTTAATATAATTGCAAGTTAAGGGTGTGACACCCAAAAAGTGAATAGTCTTATATGGGATGTGTTAAAGAGTCACTGGTGTATAATAATTCTTAAGAGAAAAAATAATAGTTAGCACTTTTAAAGTAGGAATCGTGGTATCATATTATGTGCTCAAGTGAGAGAGTACAAGATGCACAACCTACATGGGAGGATCTTAGCCAGGGGGATACAACTGGTATCAGAGCTTAAGATCAACTAGAAAGTGTTGGAAACTAAGTATTTAGAACAATACAGAGCGAAGTGTCATGCCATACAGAACTATGGCTGTGCTATCTCTAGAGCTGTGAAGGCGAGGGGGAAACATACAAAGTGATGCAAATAGTCTTCCAGTGTTGTAAAAAGCGGCAAAAAGCGGGGCTATCGCGGCGCAAATCGCGGAAGCGGAGCATCAGCGCTACGCGTAAGGCATTAGCGGCTTGCTTAAGCTGTAAAAACCGCTTTGTGCTCGAATTGCGCGATTTAGCGGGGTTTTAGCGGGTAAAAGCGCTTAAAAGCGCTATTAACTGCTTCAAGCAACCGAACTTTTCCCCGCACCCGGCCCGAACCCGACCCGCTTACCCATTTATACTTAAACCCCTCACTTCCCGTCTGCCCTAGTCGCCTCACTCAGTTCCCGTCTTCCCCAAATCGTCACCCTTCCTTCTCCCCTTCATCTCCAACTCAAGATCCCTTCATCTCCAACCCCAGGAACTCGTGTGCCCTTCATCCGCCACCGCCCCTTTGACTCGTCCGTCGTATTCTGGTTCATCCGACGCTGCCGCCTTCCTCATCCGCCCGCTGTCGCCCTGACTGTCCACCGTCGCGACGCCTTTCTCCAGCCGGCCACTTCCCCAAGCTGCTCTCAGCACCAGCATCAACGCCTCCTTCCAGCCGAGGCTTCCACCAGCACCAGCGACCCTCGTCGTCAGAGCTCCTTTCGTCGTCGACCGCCACCAACCTGCCTAGCCGCCCTACCCTCCTCCAGATCCTGAGATCCCGCCGCCCGCCGCCCGTTCGTCTCATCCCACCCGCCTCCACGACAACGGGGCCATCTCCTCCGCCTCCAACACTGATTTTAGTACAATTAAGTAATTTACGTGAAATAGTACGTGAAGAGAACTGGAAGGCAGAAGGTCTTGAAGTTCTCTTAGTTAAATGGTTGTAGAATTCACGTACTATTTCACATAAAGAAAAACAAGCAGTTGGAGGATGAGGTGGCTTTAGGAGAACTACTTGAATACTTTATTTTTTAGGTCAACTTTCTAGTAGTTAATATAATGATCATATTACTAACTTACTAATCATGCTTTTTTATTGTTGAGTATTTTCATATTAGACTTGAAAGTTGAAGAAATTGGACAAATAACAATCTTTTGGATAAACAGGTACGTTTTTTCCATTCTTTAATCTTTATAATTATAGTACATTGTTAATATTATGTAATTATTACACATATATTTCATGTTTAGGCATCAAGTATGCATTTGTAGAATTTTTAGATTTATTATGAATTTTTTTATTATTTAGGATATTTAAATATATTTAAATTGGACCGCTATTTGACGGTGCGCTATTTGCCGCGATTTCGCCGCAATAGCTCGATATAGCCTTAGCGGTACCTCGCCGCGACGCGCCGCTATCCGCTATCAGCAACCTTGTAGTCTTCCATAAGATGTATTAAAATTTAAAAGGATCTCTTGTGTAATAATTACTAGACTCGAGGGTTAATTATTGGTAGTATTTTGATGAAGGTATCATGGATAGCTTGCATTCCCAAATAAGAGCAATATCATGATGGATGGCTTCAAGTTCCCGCTCGGATTGTAATAAAGGGTATCAACAAGGCAAAACATACCTAAGCAATAGGTAGTATTGTTGCAAATTTCCAATACATGTGTCTATCAGTTTCACCACTATTAATGTGAAGAAACTAAGATAAGAAAGTGTTCAGGACAACTGAACCCAAATATCAAGTAACTCATAGTAAGGAAAAGAAGTTTAATATATTAGACAATATAATAACACCTGTATAATCTACGAGAATTCAAATCTAAATAATCAAGTTAAATTTACATGGAAAGTAAAGCAACATTTAACAATAATGATGCATCTTATAACATGTGAAAAGAATTCAGATGCTGACGCTGAAACTGAAGCATCACAGATAAGGGGGGGAATCTATCATAGGGAAAAACATTTTAATAACCTGAGCTGCATTCCACGGCGTTCCTACCTTGCTTTTACATGGCAAAGGAGACAAGTCATTGCTGGTCTCCCAATCCAACCAAGGAAGTAGAACACCATCCGTCTCGGCAGGCGATGAAGTTGCATTTTGCAGAATTGCGTTAGTCTCTGATATGACATTGTGGACAGCAAGTTCTCTCAGCTTTGGACCACCTCCCATGGTTGAACTTGTATCACTTCTTTCTCCATCAAAAGACGATAAATCTGTGTCCTCAACATTTGACAGGAAATCCTCAAAATATTTTTCTGCCTCTTCAATCAATCGGTTTGACATCCTTTTCTTATCGTTGCTCCTCTGGAACAAAATTAAGTGCAAACCATAAGAACCTATCAAACATGCACCCATTCATATGAAAGGTATGAGTACACCAAAAAGTGCTTGCAACAAAGAAATCTTACCCTATGATATCGCGATGGCCTTCCTGCAGCAATTGCTTGTTTCTGTGCAGGAAGCAGTTCTCTGACAATATGAGTAAGCTCCTCGCCTCCAGCACCAGCATCAACGCCTCCTTCCAGCCGAGGCTTCCACCAGCACCAGCGACCCTCGTCGTCAGAGCTCCTTTCGTCGTCGACCGCCACCAACCTGCCTAGCCGCCCTACCCTCCTCCAGATCCTGAGATCCCGCCGCCCGCCGCCCGTTCGTCTCATCCCACCCGCCTCCACGACAACGGGGCCATCTCCTCCGCCTCCAACACTGATTTTAGTACAATTAAGTAATTTACGTGAAATAGTACGTGAAGAGAACTGGAAGGCAGAAGGTCTTGAAGTTCTCTTAGTTAAATGGTTGTAGAATTCACGTACTATTTCACATAAAGAAAAACAAGCAGTTGGAGGATGAGGTGGCTTTAGGAGAACTACTTGAATACTTTATTTTTTAGGTCAACTTTCTAGTAGTTAATATAATGATCATATTACTAACTTACTAATCATGCTTTTTTATTGTTGAGTATTTTCATATTAGACTTGAAAGTTGAAGAAATTGGACAAATAACAATCTTTTGGATAAACAGGTACGTTTTTTCCATTCTTTAATCTTTATAATTATAGTACATTGTTAATATTATGTAATTATTACACATATATTTCATGTTTAGGCATCAAGTATGCATTTGTAGAATTTTTAGATTTATTATGAATTTTTTTATTATTTAGGATATTTAAATATATTTAAATTGGACCGCTATTTGACGGTGCGCTATTTGCCGCGATTTCGCCGCAATAGCTCGATATAGCCTTAGCGGTACCTCGCCGCGACGCGCCGCTATCCGCTATCAGCAACCTTGTAGTCTTCCATAAGATGTATTAAAATTTAAAAGGATCTCTTGTGTAATAATTACTAGACTCGAGGGTTAATTATTGGTAGTATTTTGATGAAGGTATCATGGATAGCTTGCATTCCCAAATAAGAGCAATATCATGATGGATGGCTTCAAGTTCCCGCTCGGATTGTAATAAAGGGTATCAACAAGGCAAAACATACCTAAGCAATAGGTAGTATTGTTGCAAATTTCCAATACATGTGTCTATCAGTTTCACCACTATTAATGTGAAGAAACTAAGATAAGAAAGTGTTCAGGACAACTGAACCCAAATATCAAGTAACTCATAGTAAGGAAAAGAAGTTTAATATATTAGACAATATAATAACACCTGTATAATCTACGAGAATTCAAATCTAAATAATCAAGTTAAATTTACATGGAAAGTAAAGCAACATTTAACAATAATGATGCATCTTATAACATGTGAAAAGAATTCAGATGCTGACGCTGAAACTGAAGCATCACAGATAAGGGGGGGAATCTATCATAGGGAAAAACATTTTAATAACCTGAGCTGCATTCCACGGCGTTCCTACCTTGCTTTTACATGGCAAAGGAGACAAGTCATTGCTGGTCTCCCAATCCAACCAAGGAAGTAGAACACCATCCGTCTCGGCAGGCGATGAAGTTGCATTTTGCAGAATTGCGTTAGTCTCTGATATGACATTGTGGACAGCAAGTTCTCTCAGCTTTGGACCACCTCCCATGGTTGAACTTGTATCACTTCTTTCTCCATCAAAAGACGATAAATCTGTGTCCTCAACATTTGACAGGAAATCCTCAAAATATTTTTCTGCCTCTTCAATCAATCGGTTTGACATCCTTTTCTTATCGTTGCTCCTCTGGAACAAAATTAAGTGCAAACCATAAGAACCTATCAAACATGCACCCATTCATATGAAAGGTATGAGTACACCAAAAAGTGCTTGCAACAAAGAAATCTTACCCTATGATATCGCGATGGCCTTCCTGCAGCAATTGCTTGTTTCTGTGCAGGAAGCAGTTCTCTGACAATATGAGTAAGCTCCTGACCACGTTGCTCTTCAGCCGCTAACTCAGCTAGTAAGTCCTGCTTTCGCTTCTCTGACTGAAATGCGTGGACATTGAATGAATATGTCATAGGGTATCTTCAAACTAATAATTGGCATGACGGCAGATTGGAATGCACAAATTACAATCAGACTACAGGTATCAAACGAGGTGATGTGTACATAACATGCACACGGACTCCATTTTCAAAAAAAAAAAAACATATCCATCAACATAGTTATAATCCCCTTTCTTACATCCCGAACTATGATAAGTCCCAGCCTTAGACGTGGATTGTTTTTTTTTTTCAATCTAGCAATATGTACCTTTCATCGTGATATTTCAAAAGATAACAGTTATGTTGTATCTTTCCTATACACCAAATTACTTGGAACAGCAATTACTTTCTTCTACAAAAACAACAACAACAAAGCCTCTATCCCAAATGTTTGGGGTCGGCTATATGAATCATATTCTTCCATTACGTTCTATTATGGGACATCTCACCTGTTAAGCTAACCACAACTATATCCTTCTTAATTGCCTACAACCAAGTCCTTCTAAGTCTACATCTACATCTCTTTGCTCCATTAACTATAATATTATCACTTCTCCTAACCGATGAGGTAAGAGGTCTATGTTGTACATAGCCATACCACCTTAATCGATTCTCTCTCATTTTATCCTCCAATAAGAGTAATCTCTAATTATCTACAGATGCATTCATTTCTTATCGTATCTTTTAGTATATACACACAAGGCCATCTCAACATTCTCATTTCTACTACACTCATTTTTTGCACATATTATTTTTTAATTGACAAATATTCTGATCCACAAAACATTGTTGGTCTCATAACTGACTTATAGAATTTTTCCTTAAGTCTAACAGGTATTCTATGATCACACAATACTCTCGAAGCACTTCTCCATTTTAACCATCCTAATTTGGTTCGATTAACATCATCATCCTCAATCTCACTATCATATCGAATGATTTATCCTAAATAACGAAACTCATTGCTTTTAGATATTTCTTGGCCATTAATATGTATCATAAGCTCTTTTCTTCTTCTAGTTTTAATAAAAATGCATTCCATATATTCTATTTTTGTTCTACTAATTCTAAAACATTTAGTTTCAAGAGCTTGCTTCCACCTTTCTAATTTAGAAATTATTCTAGTCTTGTCAGTTAATATTATATCATCAGTAAATAACATACATCATGACACTTCATTCTGAGTATGTCTAATAAGTTGGTCCATAAGTAAAGCAAAAAAGATAAGGCCTCAAGGTTGACCCTTAATGTAAACCTAAGATTATTGAAAATGACTTAGTCTCTCCTTTATTAGTTCTACTTTAGTTGTTACTTTATCATACATATATTTAATCACATCAATATATTTACTAGATACGTGCTTCTTTTCTAAAACCCACCACATTATCTCCTATGCATTTTATCAGAAGCTTTTTCTAGGTCAATGACAATCATATATAGATCTTTTTTTCTTTATATTTCTCCATCAACCATCTCAAATATGTATAGGTTCCATTGATGAACTCCCGAACATAAAACCGAATTGATTTTCAGATACACTTGTCTCTTTTCTTAGTCTTTGCTCAGTTACCCTCTCTCAAAGTTTCATAGTATGACTCATGAGTTTAATATCATAATAGGTTGAACAACTTTATATATCTCCTTTATTCTTGTAATCGGCATCAACGTACTAATCTTCCACTCATTGGGGATTCTCTTTGTTTTAATAATCTTATTAAATAATTTGGTCAGTCATCCTAATTCTATATCTCCAAGACATTTCCAAACTTCAAAACGGATATTGTCCTGTCCTACGGCTCTTCTACTTTTCATTTTCTTTAGAGCAGGTTTGACCTCCTTGATCCTAATTTTCAGACAATATCTATAGTTTCTATCATTCACTATATAGTCAAATTCTCTATGTTTCTCACCTATTTAGTTATCATTAAACAATTTATGAAAGTAACTAGAGCTCTTTGATCTTCACTCTTAATATACCTAATATTTAGTTTAGTGTTTTTAAGGGCGCAGTGAGGCGCGCGCCTCGGGCGCGAAGCGCTTCAGCGCAGTGGATTAGCGCCCCGCATATGATTACTGGTTACTGTATGTAGCAAGAAAGTTCTGGTAAGAAAGAATTGACTACAAAAAAAAATCATTCCACAACTTATGATGTTGTTAATGTTCGTTTATTGTACAGCTATGGACAGTGTATCTTTTAAACAGGTAAGGCAACATATGAATACTTCAAATTATATGAACAGAAAGAGGCATTAGTAAAAAGAGGTAAATCCAGATAAATAATTTTATATTATCATATTTTTAACATCTTTCATTCCTATGTAGCATTCATAATCATAACACATCCTGAAGCAGTCCCATTCCCGTTTTCTAATCTCTTGGAGCAAAACCTAATTGGGTTTCAAAATACCCTTCCTGATGATTAGTTTATTTTCATGTTAATTGGCCAGTCAATAAACAAGAACAATTGCGAAATATGGAAAATGACACATGGAAAATATCTAAATAATAATCTTTATCCATACCTGTTCCAGTTTATTGGTGTAGTTTTTTCTAATCTCAGCAATAATTTGGACCGAATTTTCACCCGTTGGCTGATTGACATCACTATTCGCTAAGGTAGTGGGTTCTGTTTTCACCATGACCTGAAAGTACTCTGATGTCAATATGATAAAATGGAGAATAAATGTCTACAATTATAAGTGGAAAATCATGATAATAGTATTGCAAGGTAGCACAGAAAATTTTATCAGGAAATAACAGAAAGAAGAAAAAGGTTAACACGATAATAGGGAGAAAACATGAAGCAAAATCTAGAAATTAGAAGGATATGAGTTTTAGTCAGTAAAGCAACTAAACATTTGCATGATAAAAAGGCTGGAGTAATAATTGAACATACACCTTTTCAAGCTCTGTCCTGATCTCATGGACAGCATGCCTTACTTCATTTCGCATGACTTCATATAGTCCACCTTCATCTCTATCTCCAGTAGGTTGTTCTGCCTGAAGCATATATATAGTTACAATAAGGATGGGTAGCTCATTAATATCTCTTGCCTCTCTATCAAGAAGTACACAAGGATATCAGTTTTAGAAAAGTGGAACAGTTATCAAACCGACCTTTTCCTTGCTGTAAAGTGCTTGTATTGTCTTCTCAGACCCACTTTTATTAGAATGAACATCCCGTACTTCATCGTCGGTCAGAGATGAAGAGTGGCTCTGAAAAAACAAAAAGAAATGATATAAAATTGCATTGTCGACAGTGACAATTAAAGAATGGATCACCTACCGAGTAGTTATCATGTGACTGTACAAAATCCTTTTGACTCATTGACCTTCTCAGTACGTGAAAAGTATCTGTTTGTTTCCTTGAAGACGATAGCTGGAAATTTCTGTTGTCAATACTCCTCAATTTGCTAGAACCATAAGATTTATCAGTGTCACTCTGTAGATTTAAAATATGAAAGAATCAGCATCCCATAAATTGATGAATAGCATGCAAATGCAATCATGGAAACTCAATTTGCACTCTAGTCAAGTAGAGTTCTTAAATTTTGGAGTCATGAGTAGATAAGTGAAAATTAAAGCTAATGAACAAACTGGTTCACAATGTAGTAGAAGCCACAGACATGGGAAGTGGATACAATATGACATGGAACATAAATAAGAAACTCTTTTGAAAGTTTAATATAGATATAACATACGCACAATCTCAAATATCTATATCTATATCTACACACACACACACACCCTACACATGAGCTTTTATTTTATGGAATATGAAATAAACAAGTAATAATATAAAATTATTAGAGACAAAATAAGAAACTCTTTTGAAAGTTTAATATAGATATAACATACGCACAATCTCAAATATCTATATCTATATCTATATCTACACACACACACACCCTACACATGAGCTTTTATTTTATGGAATATGAAATAAACAAGTAATAATATAAAATTATTAGAGACAAAAGCATGACAATGAGATTTCTCCAAAAACAAGTAGGACTAACGTTTATTAGAGAGCTGTCCATATGGGAGAAGGCTCTCCGAAAGGACATAAACCTCTCCCCAAGGCATTGTTGCACAGAGAGAGATACCCTTCAGAATGAGTCTTAAAACTCCCAATGGATTAGAACCTACAAAAGAAGTTTTCCACTAAATGAATGTAGTAGATTCACTGAAAAAGAGAGGATCTAGCCAGTTTCTTTATTACATTCAAACACATGAACTTATAGAACGTGAATATGAAAACAAGTGCACTATCTAAGCTTTCCATGTGTATTTTCAGTCAATTTCCAAAGAAAGGGCCTAGTTCAAGGCTTCATGTTCGCTATGATCTCCAGAAGTGACCGACGGTAAGTATTCCGGTTGTCTGTTTCTTACTTTTATGTCCTTTCTATAGCCATTTCTACTAGGGAGCGGTTGGGTATTAAACTAAGAAAATAAACTGTAAACTATATATTAAGTACTATATAAAAATAATTCCATAATTTTTCCAAGCGTGGACTTGTGTTAAAGTACTTCTAATTAAGGAGTAGATCTTTAACTAATTTGATCAGATTAAAGAAGCTGCAACTTAGAAGAAACAGGGTGATAGATAAATGAAATGTCTCTCTTTCTCTCTATCTCTCCTCCTTTCTCTAATTTTCTTTTTTAACTCACAAAATCACTAAATAATAAAATTTAAGATCTATTCTACTTTGCAAGCGGCAGTGTACCGTCGACGTCTTAATTTATAAAAGCTTGGATGGTGGACCTCGATTGTATTTTACAACCTAGCAAGTTTTAGGGTTTCTACAAAAATCCAACTCTTCCACTCAGTTTCATTGAGGGGCTATCTCCTCCACTAAGTTAACTATTATCCAAAGTTATCGTTAGCGGATAGCGTCGCGTAGCATTGAGGAACTGCTAACTCTATTCGGAGCTATTGCAGCAAAATAACAGCAAAAAGCATAAAGTCAAAAAATAGTCTAATTTAAATATGTACAAATATTCAAAAAATTAAAGAAATATTTAAAAAAACTACAAACGCATATTTGATGATTTAAAGAGATTCTAGGCATGAAAGACATATAACAATCACATAATATTGAAGAGATTCTAAGCATGATTTAAAGTTGAAGAGTCGTCGTCTTCAAGAAGATGAGGTGGGTGGTGAGAGGACTGCAATAGGAGGATATCACAACAAGAAGAGGTGAGAGGTGTTGTGGCGGTGAGAGGAGATGCTGAAGGAGGTGTCGGAGTCTGTGGAAGGCGGCGTGAGGCGGAAGGGAGATGCTGAAAGTCGCGGGAGGCGGTAGGAGGCGGTGACATTTTTAAGGACTAGGTTTTTTTAGAGTTGGATCGCAAGGGAAGACTCGAGAGAAAAAAACCACGATTAGTAATGACTTAAAACATCAGATCTTGCAGGTGCTGATCGAGTTTAATTATAAAAATAATCTAAAACCGCTTTTAAATAACAGTTAAAAAGCTAATTTTACCTACACTCGCTGGCTATTCACCGCTATGGAGCGTTATTGGGGGATGTTGTGAGCGAAAAGCGCATATTCCGCAATATGTCACCGCTATTAAGCGATATTATTGTGAAAGGGACCTCTAACACTATTAGCACTGCTATCACGGAGCTATTTACCGTTATTTATAACACTGCTATTATCATATCATTCTTAATAGCTTCTAATCAAATTATCTAACCAAGCTTAATGGGAGGATATTCTCTAACAACCAGTAATAAATTTTGGAATAATAGCTTTCTTGTTGCTGTTGTCATATAATAAACTTCCTAGTCCGAGACCATGAAATTGGAAAGCTATCCTTTTGGACAGCGTTTACTGCACATTATCTTGAAGGCAGATAACATCTAATAACTGTCCGTATTTTTAATGTTAAAAGGAGTTACATGCTTAAGTGATATCATTTCAACAATCTACAAGATATAGTACATTTAGTTTAAGTTAATTCTTTCTATAAACAAATGATTACTTTTAGAAGAGGCATCTAAAAAGTTAATCCTTTTATTCTTTGTTATGTTAAAGCATCCACCTTTTTGTTAATATTAAGAGTATCTTTGCAACAGAGGATAATGTATGAATTTATTAACTGGTTTTTCATGTTATATATCCTTTTAATATTAAGAAAATACTGTAAAGTCATGTTGCCATGTGGCACGAATCTCACAGCCAACAATTTGTGAACATACTACATAGTTATCAATTTTGTCATTGATTGTTACTTCATTCTTTTCACTAGTCAGATAATGAAGTTCAACAGTTCATTCCAATGTTTTTAAAAGCACGCGCCTCATGCGCCTTGGAATGCGGAGCGGTGACGAAGCGTTCAACATCTGATGCAACAGCGCCTTTTGCGCCTTGCAATAATCCTAATTTTGGCAAGGTGCATGTAGTACATACCCTCATATAGTTTTGTTTGTTAACATATCAATCAAGCCTTTATACTCGATAATCCATATCCCAAAAAACAAAATAAATCCATCAGGCCTTTTTAGTGGTCTTCAATTGAGAACCATAAGTAATCATTTGCTTGGATATTAGTTCTTGATTTGATATTTGATTTGAGAATTTATGAATTTTGCTAGTATGTTGGGATTTGCTTGGATATTAGTTCTTGATTTGATATTTGATTTGAGAATTTATGAATTTTGCTAGTATGTTGGGTGTTAGCATTAGAAATTGAGACCTTATATTATTTGATTTGAGAATTTATGAATTTTGCTAGTATGTTGGGTGTTAGCATTAGAAATTGAGACCTTATATAAAGATTTTGTGGTAAGATATTATTTATTCTGACATATTTTTTTATGTGAATTCCTAAACATTTTCTTTCATGCTTGATTATATATCTTGAAAATTTATGTGTGTGGTGTGCACCTCGCATCACTCAGGCGCGCGCATCGCGTTGCGCCTTGCGCATGTGTGCGTAAAAATGCTTTGCGTCCCGCATTGCGCCTCTAACATTGACAACACTAGTTCATTTCTATGATAACAAAGATTCATATGAACTGCTTTAACCACATTAACCATTTTGTACAATATCATGTTTCAATTGCAATGTTCGACATATAATAACTGTCATTAGTATGATAAAATAGAAGAATAGTCAAGAATTTTTTAATTCACAAAGATTAAGGTATCAAATATCTAAGACTAGGGAGTTGACACACATCTTATAAATTTATTTTATTTCATTTATGTTTACATAGTCTAATATATGAAGGAAATAAAACTGAACACCAGTATGTTAGCACTTTATGTAATATAGATTAAGTTTAACAGAGCGGACCTTCAAATGAATGGCCAAAAATCGAATTTGGATAGGAAAAATAATTGAGTTGTAACCTTGCTCGAACATACACTGCTAGCCAACAAACCACTAGCTTAAAGTTTTGGTTAAAGTAGTCACCGGAATTGTATGACGATCTTACAGGCCCAAGTTTAAATTTTCTTTTTTTCCATAGAACATAGAAACCCTGATAGAAGTTAGTGGCTAATTATCTCAATATATAAAGAAAGTCTGAGACAAGAAAAATAAGAATATCAAATTCAGTACCAATGACAAAAAGCATTGCATAGCTAAGTAAGATATATGAAACCATATAAAAATACATACCGTGTTATGCTTGAAAGGTTAACATAAATTAAGGTCGTAAGAAAGAAGTGCCTATAAAGCAGAGGTAATTACAACAGTAACCAGAACTTCCTGACAACTACAAGGTTAAGTTAAATTGAAACACATCTTCATTTTAGTAGATTACACTAAAGACTGTAATTAAATTACAAGGGAAAACCGACATGATGTGATTAATACTGCAAAGTGCTGGATTTCGGCAAGCGCAATAATGAAAAGTGGGAAGTTACCTCCAAATCAATACATGGATACCGAACAACGGAAACTGAACGTCGCAGCCTTGAGTTACGGTCATTTCCATGAAGTCCCTTCCTCTCTCCAGCAACCCGATCATGGCGAGACAATTCACCATTAAATAAACCTTTCTCATCCTATAAGATACGGCATCAACTGCATAAGTAACTATTTATTTGAATATGACTGAGAAGAGCTCCTTTGGCTAAAGAATAGAGGTAAGAGAAGTCATAATGGAGATAATGTCCAGGTATGAATTCAGCGACAACTGACTAATTATCTACATATTATTAAAAGGAGATTTCCTGAAGCTCTCGCATGAGAAGTTTTCCTGAAGCTCGGTGAACTAATGAAAAAGATAATAAACTAGTAAATCATCACAATTTTTTATCTTTCTAAGAATTCAAGTACAAATCCTGATTATTAATTGCCAATTCTAGAGATATTTTTGCAAACTCATGTGTCGCTTAAAATTATAAAAAACTTGATACTAATTATTTAACCGGACAAATTTTGAAAACCATCCTATTTACAAAAAAAAAATCGCAAATTCCAACCTATTCTAAAAAAATTTATCAAAACCGACCTAGTTTCAGCCATTGGCTGAAACTGGGTCGGTTTTGACAAAATATGTTCCGAAACTTCACGGTATTTCAAGTACCGTGAAGTTTTGTAATGTACAAAAACTTCACGGGACTTGAAGTCCCGTAAAGTTTCGGAAGATTTTTCTTCAAAACAGTTTCAATCGTCAGGCTGAAACTGGGTCGGTTTTCACAACTATTTTGTGAATGAGTCGATTTTTGCAATTATTTTCTCAAATAGCACGGTTTTCAAAATTTGCCCTATTTAAGCACAACAAAATTTCAAAAGAAAGATTCCTCCAGAAAAGATGAGAACGCTTGAATCTACACTGCAAAAAGCTAATCACCCCAAGATCACAACTTTAACACCTTAATTGAGCTAGAATAAATGAAAGGCGTAAACAACGACCGATTAAAAACTAAACAGTTCAAATTGAGCTGATTTGTTTCCAAATCCCAAAATTGGCAACTTCTATCACTAAATTACCTTCAAACTATCACGCTGTTGTCTCACAACTGAAACCGATCGCCTCTGCTGCCTCGATCTATCAAAATCATCACCAGCATTCCCCTTCTTCGACACCGACCGCCCCCTCACCCTGGACGACTCCGTCTCCATCCTAAACCTCTCATTATCGGTCCTCCTACTCGATCGCCCAGCCCGAACCGAACCAGACCCAACCCCATCATCCTCAGCCTCAAAACCCTTGGTCGTCGATCCAAAGAACTCATCAGCCAAATCATCAAGACTGATCTCAGGAAACCCCGTGCCTCTCGTCTTATTCACGAACCTCCCCCTCGGCGTAGTGAACTCATCGGATTCCGCGGCGGCGGCTGGCGGGAAGCGGCCGGAGTATCGGGCTGAGGCTTTCTGAGAGTCCGCCGATGAGCTCCGGTGGCTACGATCCGGCGTCGCCGGGGGCGAGGGAGGACCGCCTCGACGTCGATTTGAAAGCGGACGTTGCCATTGATTGAGAGATCGAGGGAGACTTCTTAGGGTTTCATTTTTAGGGTTTTTTTTCGAAAGAGATTGAAGAGGAGTGGACTTCAAAGGGCTCGTGACGGAGGGATGAGGGTTTTTGGATTTTTATTTTAAACGTTGAGAATTTAGGGAAGGCCATATGCGCGCTATGTATCTATTAGTTTCATGGACAAATTTTCAAACCCAACCTGTTTTGTCAAAAAATTACGAAAAAAAAACTCGTTTCAAACTTATTTTCAAAAACCGACCCAGTTAGACAGAAACTAAATCGGTTTTTGAAAAAAAAATTCAAACTTCATGGAAGTTGAAGTCCCGTGAAGTTTTGTTATATAAAAAACTTCATGGGACTTCAACTCCCGTGAAGTTTGGGAACTTTATTTTAAAAAACTGACCCAGTTTCAGCCAACTAGGTTTGTTTTTAAAATTAAGTTTGAAATGGATTTGTTTTTAAAATTAAGTTTGAAATGGATTTGTTTTTAGGAATAAAATCCAAAATAGGTTATGAAAATTTGTCCATTAGTTTCACACTCTAATATTTAGAGGTGAAGGATAAAAAATTGGGAGTAAGGATATCAGTATGAGCTTAAATTGTTGGATTAAATGCCCTTGACCGGTGGGGATATTGCGGAGGTGCCAAGGATGGAAGGGATGCTCATCGATGCGCTGTCTTTAGTCTCTGACCAACGTTCAAATTCACAAATTGTGAAGATAGGATCCGGGCACCATCCGTTGAGAATAAAATAACATTGTATTTCTCATATTATTTTTGGAGTTTTTCACATTAGTACCTTACACTTCAGTATTTTGAAATTTGTCCAACAAATCTTCATATTTTAAATTAGCCCCCCAAATCATTAAATATATTGAAGTTAGTCCTCCATATATTCACATTTTAAAATTAACCCCCCCCCCTATGTTATGTTTTTGAAATTAGTCTCACATATCTTTGAAACCAGCGTCGACTAGAGGGACTAGCTTCAGAACACTTAAGAGAAATTATGGGACTAATTTCAAAATATAAAGATGTGGCGGACTAATTCAAAATATGAAAGTTTTTACGATACTAATATTAAAAAAGCGCTATTATTTTATGGACTTTTAGGGTGCTTGTATTGAATAATTAGAACCACCCCTATAAGAATAGAGTGGTTTGCACTATAGAATAAAAAGTTAAAATTCTCGAACTAACTCTCTAACCAGTGTGAGTGACATAAATCATTCCATGCAATGGGGATGTTGTAAAGGGTGTACACTCGTCTGCATGGTTTTTCACTTGATTACATTCACTGACAAAAAGGATGTCTTAGTAGACATGTTTTAATTGTTTTCTTTTTAACCGGGCATCAATATATATTAGCAATATAGTATCTCGTTACTGTGAAAATTAAAATGTGAAAATAAAAAACATTGATGTGTATTTTATTTATTTAATATTAATAAATATATTTTTTACGAATGGCTAGAGTTGAAAATGCCTTTTCTAAGACATAAAATTTTCAAATTCAAAATTTTGTTAGTTCATTTTCTTGGATCAACCATCATTTTCTTTTAATTTAAAGTGGATGTTTTATCAGAACAAGTACCCAAGACTATAAAAGTATTCTGTTTTTATGCTTTCATTTTCCCAATTCCTCCAACCAAACACCCCATTCATTGTTTTCAACTTCGCATGGTTGTCAAGGCATCTCTTTGTTGTTTGTTATTCATCTTCTTTTTTTCTTTTTTTTGGGTGCCATATGTATCCTATTGCTACAAAAAGTATTTGAATTCTAATGAAGTTCTAAACTTCTAACTATCCCTATTGTCTTCGGACAAATCCTTTCCTAAAACTAATATAGTTGATTTTCTCTCAAAAAAAATGATGTTCTATGAAAAGGCGAAGCAATCTCTCTCTCCAAGAAGATGGCTCTCGCTCTTCTTATTGGGCTCAAACAACCCAAAGAAACAAAAAAATAAGACGTCAAAATTATGTGGACGTATCTAAAAATTTATGTTGATCCAGTTCTAAGTAAATTTTCCATGGGCAAAAATTGACGGTACATTTGAAATTATGATTGGAGTAATCAATGGTAATAGTATATAATACTACTCTGGGGGGTGTTAGTCAATTGGGATATTTTTCATGCAAAAATGGGATAATTGTTAAAGTGGAATAAATTTTCGCTAGTGGGATATTTTAGTGGGATAAATAGGAACAATTTTGTGAAGCGACATATTTTGATAAAATAACGTGGGATAAATGTTTATAATCATGAAATATATATTTATGCATTTTGAAGATATAAATATTATTTATGTATTTTAAACTTACTATTATTGATTGCTTACAAGATGTTTTTTACTATTAAATAACTTTTGGTTAGACTATAAGATATTGACAATTATTATTATAATGATGGTGATAACCATAACATGAAAGAAGTAAAGAAAAAAAAGAAATATAAAAAATAAAAATAACAAAATAAATACGAGTTCTAGTTTTTTACCACCTAATTCCAAGCTAAAACTTGGAATAATTTGAGAGACTAGAACTCTTATTTTTATATAGAAAAAAAAATTAGATAATTTTGTACCATTATCTCAATTTTAGTTTTAGTTTTATGTGACTAACACCTTAAAAACTTATCACATATATTATATCAGTTCCAATTTTAAGTTCTAGGTGACTAACCCCGTAAATACGTCACTAACGGAGTTCTCGTTTCAAGCATCCATCAAAGTGGAAAGTTTAGGCATAGGTAAACCGAACTAGGAAACCAAGACGATGGTTAGGTGGCGGTTGGAATCACGGCGGCCAAATGCCCTCCTCTAAAAAAACTGATTTTCCCTTATTTGTTGGGCCCCCCCTGAACTCGGCTTTTACACGTGACACCGATGCTTAATCAAAGGCGCATTCATCATCATTAAGAGCTGTGATGGCGATTTCGTTAATATGTCAAAGATTATGAGCAAGCTCAATCGCTAGTCATCTTGGGATGTCCGCAGAGGTGTTTGTCAGACGAGGATTCTACGGTATATTCTACAGGGTGGCTGTTGTTGTAGTGCCACGTGGCACGGAAAAGCAACTCGAAATTTTCCCGCGGCTTCGTAAAGGTGGAACCCAGTTTGAATTTGAACGGGAGATATAACAAATCACATTCACTGCACTAGTGGACCTAAACTCAAGATATATACATGGACAAATTTTGAAAAACGACCTTTTTTCAAATTTATTAGGCAAAACCGACCCTCTAGAAAATTAATGAGCAAAACCGATCCTTTTCTTAAGAAAATGATCGATTTTGCGGTGTGGCCTTATTGTGAACTGCACGGGACTAATAGTCCCGTGCAGTCTACTTAATTTCCCGCACTCGTAACCCACCCCAAATCGCTCTCCTCTTCAAGAAAAAACCAAATCCCTAGCTTGGCACGACGACGAAGGGGATCAGAGAGAAGGGCAGCGACGGGGCTGAGGCGTCGAGCTGGGGCGCGGTGACAGGAGGAGAGGGCGGATCTGGCGTGGTGGTCGGAGTTTGGGCTGCGCGATGACAGGAGGAGAGGGCGGATCTGGCGTGGTGGTCGGAGTTTGGGCTGCGGAGGAGGCTGACGGCGGAGCTGAGGGGAGCTCGGCTGGTCGGAGGCTGTCGGATCGTGGTGCGGGTGGAGGAGAAGCTCGGGCTAAGCGGTGGCTCGAGCGGGTGATGGGGGCGGTGGAGTTAGGGAGAAGGCGGCGTGGTGAAGCTTGAGGAGGTGGAGGCTCAGGGCGGTGCGTCGGGTCGGAGGGCAGCGACGAAGGGAGCTCGGGGAGGAGGAGCTCGGAGCTCAGGAGGGCTGTGGCAAGGCTTGGCTGGGTTGAGGTGCTCAGGGCGGTGGTCGAGCGGAGGCGGAGCTCGGGGGGCTGTGATGGCGCGCGGGTGAAGAGGAACTCGACGAGCGGCGATGGAGGAAATTAATGGGCGGTCGGAGGAGGAGCGGGTGCGGGGGTTCTTTTTTGGGATTTTTTTTTGGAGAGGAGCCGATTAATGGGCAGTCACGAGGAAATTAATGGGCGAATTAAGTAGACTGCACGGGACCAGTAGTCCCGTGCAGTTCACAAGAGGAGGCAAATTGCAAAACCGACCCTCAAAGGGTTGGTTTTGCTCATTAATTTCCTAGAGGGTCGGTTTTGCCCAATAAATTTGAAAAAGGGTCGTTTTTCAAAATTTGTCCTATATACATAGTTTGGAGTATTTTTCCAGCTTATGCTTATACAGAAACCATCTTTCATTCAATATCAATTTATACATAAATGATAATGAGCTTTATATTACAATAAATCACCTTTAGGTCAAATTTTTGCTAAAAATTTAAAAACAACCTTAAAATTTATGTTCAAGATACATAACTCGTATGCTAACTAGTCCTAAATATTAACAAAATAGTTAACTAACTTGAATGCGAGTTTTTAAGGATAGTTTTGAATTTTCTGTGAAAATTTTGATTTAGAGATGGTTGATTGCAACATAAACTCACTTTAAAGGTGGTTTATGTACATATTGACATTGAAAGATGGTTGATGAATAGTTATCCCATTTTAAAGGTGGTTTCTAGGAAAAAGAATGAAATTAACATGTAGCTATAACTTGTCCTTATAAGTCAATTGTTCTCCTTTTTTGAATGGGAAACTATATTTAGGCCCGATCAACATGAAGTATCGGAAGTAAAAAGTAGATTTAAAGCTAGGGGAAAATGTGTCAAGGCCCCAAAATAAAAAAAGCTGATGTGGCCCAGCCCTAGCAACTATTTCTCTTACTTTTTAGCCCCAAAAGAGAGAAAAAGTGTGGCCCACATCATAAGTCTATACGAGAGAGCCTCTCGCCCTGGGGCTCCCTTCGCCAGCTCGGTCGCCGATAGGTTAGGTCTCTATCTGTGGACCTCTCTACGGTTATGCTTCTTTTTCCTGCTTTGATTAGTGTGATGATGGGTGATGGTGAAGGCAACAACGGGGGTTTTGCTTCTGTTTCGCTTTGGAGTGTTGGGTGGCCTTTGATTAATATTGTTAAATTTGGGGTTTGCTGAATGAGAACTTCGGTGATGAGAAGGTGGTTTCTAGTGTAAAGGATTTTGAGAGGGATTTTTTGGTTACATTCTTCTGTATGTTGGTTTTGGAGATGTGGTGACATTGATATACATGTATGAAAAATGGTGAAGGAAACGAATCTAAGAAGCTACAATTGCATTGATCAGAATGAATGAAGGTTCAGAAGACTGTTCATATGTTATGCTGCTTGCATCGTTGATTTCTTAAATGGATGTAGACCCATATTATTTTTGGATGAGACCTTTTTAGAAGATAGATACAAATGCATGCTCCTTGGCGCCATAGCATACGACAGAGACAAAGGGATATTTCCACTTGTGTAGTGCATATGCGATCAGGAAAATGTAGCTAATTGGAGATGGTTCCTTCAAGACTTGGAGTGTGAGTGTTTATTTGTATCTCTAAGATAGGATTCTTGGAGTGGTGATTTCATTGTATCATTCAAGAGTGGTGATATGTGTATATCTAGATAGGTCGGCTAACCCCTTTATTTTAAGATGGAGATATTTGTATCCTTAGAGTGATCAACATTCTACCCGATTATCCATTCACCTATTTCATCCCATATCATATCGGTATTAGAAACGTTTCCAATTCAAATGTATTTTATTTTTAGCTTTTGAACCGAACAGGAGAATGACATAGAAAATATTTATTCCCCATATTTCCATGTCGAAACAAACAACAAAAACTTTTTTTTCCCTAGAAACACACGGAAAGAGTTGGAAATAGGTTTTCTTTTACTACTAGAAGAAGTTTCCTGTATTTTGAAAAAAGTTAAAACAAATAGTTAGTTGTTTAGATACAGCTTTTTCTTTAAATTCATTACTGTTTCTATTTTTTTCATATAAAATTACATTCATACATGAAACCCTTATAAAATCTGATCTAAATCCATGAATCCAATAAGCGGTCTCGCATATGGTTGACTTGTCTCCACCTTTTTTAGTAATTTGCACGCGTTCAGTTTATACCCCTCAAATTGAACTAAGGCCTATTCCAAGCATATATGTTTGTGTTTTGCAATCCATCAAAAACCAGCTCAATCTTGGTCCGATTCTATTCTAAATCAAATTTAGAAAGGAGAAGGAGAGGGGTGATCCAAACTAGAACTAGTTTAGTGGTCTAAATTTGACCCACACAGAGCTCTAACTCTACCCCAGGTTTTTGTAAGCAAAAACGTCTACACATAGCAATTATGTAATACTTGGCCAAGATCGATCCTGATCCAATTTTTAGCTATTTTGCGTTTGGATAAAACCGAGTCAGAATTGTCCTAGTTTTTCAAGCCAAATTGAGACTTCAAAACTGGTTTGGGTGAATAATTAATATAATATCTGATTAACTCACAGCTCATTATGACAATGACAGTCACTGCAAAATGCAAATGGTTCAAAAATAAGTGTAGCTCTAAAATCAAAGGAAGAGAAATTTTACTACTCAACAACTCCTATCCTGAGTGGGAAGAAATCATGACGGCAATTAATCAGCATACGTTTACTAATCAAACTCTGTATCGCGACAGCACAATGTTCGAAAACATTACAAATATATCGTACTAAATCTTTCTTTGACAAAATGCTTCATACGAAAAACTTACTGAAACTCCTTGTACAACAACAACAACAACAACAGCAACAAAGAAAAAGAAGGGGAAAAGAAAAAAGCTTACTGAAACTCTTTAAACTACTTAGTATTACAGCCTTAAGCAACACATGTCATGGTCTTCACTCTCTGTTCTCTGATTGACATAATCAAGAACAGGATCAGTACTATCAGAGCCCAGCCGATCCGCAAAATTGTGAACTCTCTCTTCCGGAACTTCATTAACAACGTGAGCTTGATTGATTTCTTGATTACCATCATCCTTTTCTTCCGAAGATTTCGCCGAGAACATAATTGTACCAAAGAGTCTGAAACTTTTCAATACTGAACCATTGCTACTTTTATCCTTATTTGGATCTTCCCAATGCGCTCGCTTATGTCCACCAAGAGCTTGCCCTGTTGGAAAAACCCTGCAACAAATCTCACATTGATGCCCACGAGACTCATTTCTCTTCTTCTTACTTCTCTTCAGCATCATATCCCCTCCTTCATCTTGCTTCCGTTTATTCTTTCCGTGGCTTGAAACATGGCCACCGAGTGCTTGGTGCGTAGAGAATGACATGTCGCATAAACTACAAGCATGAGCCTTTCTCGTATCAGGTTGGTTCGACCCACTTGAGCTTTGTAACTTCAACCTTTTAACCTTTTCAACAACAGTGCTCGAGTTTTGTTCCGAAGAGCTCTTATTAATGGTCTCTTGAGTATGGAAGGCCTCAATGTCAACAAGACATCTCTTTGTTCTTTTCTTTTTTGGACATATTTCCCACATCAAGTTATTGCTAGTGTCAAAGGCTTTTTCCTTGACCTGTTTATTCCAATATCCAGTCCTGTGTATTGACGTATGCATGCATCGGCTCTTAAGGTAGATATGTTGCGTACTGATTGATTTAGGCTCAGATGTGGATGAGTACACTTCTTCACTGTCAATTGAGCTGCGTATTGATTCGGTTCTTGAACTATCAGCGCTTGGTGACCTTGCTTCCTCTTCATCGGGATTGCGAGAATTTAACGGTTCAATTCTGAAACAGGTGGGTTTTGTTGATTCTGCTGATGCTGATATGTTGGCAATTTCTTCTTCTGATTTTGTCTGATGATCTTCATCATTTGTTGATTTGCGACTTGTAGCCTGTTTTTCTTGATGATCCTCCATCAAGTTGAAATCTGAAAAAAGAAAACATCAAACGTCATAATGCATATTAGTTTAACATGTGAAAAGTACATGAAAGAAGTCTATACAATAAGATTAAAATCCCCGGAAGGCTAAGACAAGGAATAAGGTTCGATATGAACATGACTTTTGAGGATGTATGTTATAAGTGGTTAGTATTATGTAGAGAGATTATAATCAAAATAAAAAGGTTCTTTTTATTTTCTTTAACTGATATTAACTAGCCTATCCATCAACGAAATAAGTCACACCCAATAGCTAGAATATTAAAACTAGACTTATCATGAGATGAATGATATAACTACAATTAAAAAAGAAAAATTTCCTCAGAAACTATAATAAAAAAAACAAAATTAAAGTCTATAACACTACGAAACAAACTCCTCCAAACTCAAAATAAACGAAGTGCTGAAGAGTGATCTGAGTTTACCTCAAGAACGTAAAACAGAGCACAGAGACTAATCCTAACTGACGCGAGATCAGTAAATCAATTGAGATGATGACTCTCTCTGATTTACGTGTTAATAACCAGAGCGTTGAACAGTTTATATAGAGAGTTGATATAAGTTACTAGTAGTAACAGTATTAGTATTAAAAGTCTGAATCCGACTTTGATATGGATTAGGATTATATTATGACTATGATTAGGAGTCACATAATTAGGCCTGTTTTGGGTCTGGTAGCGAGTAAAGCATGGATTCATAGTTGGAACCGGATCTGGACCAGGGTAACCCCAACTTCAATTCGTGGGATATATGGGTTGATTAGCGTTAAAATTATAACCCTCAGCCCTCTCTATTAAATTTGGAATTTTAGACGGTGGAATGATCTTTAACATGCTATAAGGGTAATTAAAAAAGGATTTTGGTGTGAAGTCTAGGTTTTGACCCGTAATAAAAGAGAGGTCAACTTACAGTCACGTGCTAGATATTAAATTATAATCTTCGACCCACATCATAAGTCTATAAGACTATTAGCGGAAGAGATCCGTTTGCTAGGTTAGAAGTTCGGATTAGCAAGTGACAAAAACCATATAATACAAAGCCTTTACACAATTAACCCTAAATAAATTTAAAGCCCTGGAAAAAAAACAATGGTGGTAAACAAAAAGCACAAGTACAATCAAATCAAAACGTGATAAAAGCGAGCTCATGAAAATAAAATAAAAAAGTATTGGATCGAGGGTGATCTTAATTAGTTGAAGAGTTTACGTACCTCAAGAGAAAAACCGAGTGTAAAGCGTAACTAACCCTCGCTGATGTGTGAGAGCTTCAAAATCAATTAAGATAGCCTTCTGTCTCTAATCTCTCACTTTAATTGGTGTGTTAGTCTTCAAAAACAAAGTGTGGAAGGGTTTATATATATATAGAGTATGAGGAAGCAAGATTAGATGACTGCGGGATACTACCCCAAGTAGAAATTGGAATACTGACAGTATAAGTATAGTAATAGTGGTAATTAATGCATGTGGAAGATTTTGAATCCGATGTCGATTCATCAAAATTAGGTGTGCGGGGTATCCTATCATCACTATGATGAGGGCTTCAATCATAATTACGAGTAGGATTGCAATATATATGCCCAATTACAGCAGGTTTGGGCTCCCGGGCTTAGACCAGTTTTCCGGGGATAAATTATACTAAACCCCGAGAACTTCCAACATTTTGCAACAACAACTTTCAAAATTGCAATAGACCCTGAGAAATATTTGGAATTATAGAAAATCCTCAATAAGTTTTTGTGTTTTGCAAATAGCCCCAACAAACTCGAACCAAAAGACAACATAATAGGTCAATTTGAAAGTTATTGGCGTTTTGTTATTTAAAATTTTTTTTGGGGTTTAGTGTAATTTATCCAAGAGGTATTTGGGTTTTTTTTGCAAAAGTTATTGGGAGTTTAATTCAATTTTGAAAGTTATTGGAGGTTTGCTATATTAATACTGCCAGCCGAGTCGAGTGACCATATTCGTATTTTTACCACAAGTTGTTGGCTGAGTCACATGCAAGTACATGCTACAAAACGTTGGAAGTGTTTGTATTAATTTTACTGCCAGGTTCGAAGGCTAGATAAAGGTCCTAGTCACACTAAGTCTATAAAAAAAATGTGAGAAATATGTTGTATTTTGTAAATGAGTGAGCATGATGTCAAATATAGTCCTATTTTATGTGATAGAATCAATGTAATACAAGTAGATCTTTATCATTTATTCTTTGAAGAAGGAAAACAATAGCTAGAAATTCGTTCGCAAATCTCTTTCATCAAACTCTCCGAGTCTTTTTCTAATTCTTGATGTCTCAAAGGATATGATTTTGGTAATAAAACAACAGGCCTTTTATCTTATATTACATGATATGATGAATAAATTTTTATCATTAGTGGTTGTTTTCCAAAAATTATGGGAGATCTATTTCCTTAAAAATAAATAAAATAAATAAAAAAGCTTTCTTGCATTTCTAGCAATTTCTTGGTAAAGTAATTTTTATGTTTGTTTTGCCCTTAAATCAAAGGTGGAAAATAAGCTTACGTCAAACCATTGTTTGGCTGAAAACTAACAAAGTGGAAGCCTAAACATACATGTCCTCTAATGCCCCTATTATTTTCATGCTTAATAATAGATTTCCAACCCATTTCCGGGACCAAAGTTTAGAAAAGACTTTTGTGTCACATGTTTTCTTCATGTGTTTCTATAAATTTTCTCGCAAGCAAAACTAAAGAAACAAAAACATCTTAGCCACTTTAATTTGGTTTCCAAATGTGTCGTGACCCAAAAACCAGTTTTATGGGGTTTTTTTTTTCACAAACCAAACAGTCTCTTAGAGGAAATGTATGTATTTGAGAACTTTAAAGAGTTTTCTCCATTCTTGGTGGTTTCAAGGTTTAACAATCCCAAAATTATGGGAATGTATTTGCATAAACTAAATCCAATGTAGGATTTGTTTTTTTAACAAAGTATGTGTCAATATTCATAGTAAGCTGCTATAGTATGTGAATTTTAAAGAAAATAATTCAACAAAGTAACTATAGTTGATCAGCTAACAAAGAAACAAACCTAAGGAATCTCAATGTTCCGCAACATAAATAATCAGCATTCTTTCAATAACCCAGAAAACTAATGGTCTTCATAACCAAAGACATTAAAAAAAGTAAAGTACATAAACATTTGGATATCTTTCTTTCAGATATTATAACAATTAAATTAGTCTTTTCCTTAAAAAAGAACCTTCCAAATATGTTTCTTTCTCATCGGCCTTATCTACTTTACAGATGTGAAATTGCCAAAGAGAACAACTCAGATAAAATACAAACACAATGATTTGTAAAATTCTTTGCTCTACACCAACTGATTTTATTAGTAGATGAATGTCAAGCATCTCATCTAGCAATATGTACATTGCTAAAGTTATATTTCTATGTAGATCAACTCAATTATGTAATATACAGGGCCAAAGATTTGGAAAAAGAGAGGGAGAACTAAAAATTCAGAACTAGAGGCCACAAGCTCAGAGTTTCTTGCTAAATCAACTAAATTATTCAAATACAGAAAATGAAAAAAAATTGTTCAATTATGTTTTGGTTTTCCTCAGCAAAACCGTATCAACATTACACATATATCTTATTAGTCATACGTAGGTTTGTAATGTGAAATTGTTAAAGAGAACAACTCAAATATTACATACAAATACAATGACTGGAAAAGAGAATAGATTATTGAAAATTCAGAATTAGAATCATCAAGCCTAGATTTTATGGTCTACAACAACTATGACCATTCAAATACGAAAAAAAGAAAAAAAGCCCATTATCCACATCAGAATGACAGTAGTCTGGACTTCTTGCTTGAGATATCTGAACTTTGATGCTTCAAGCCAACCTAGCCACTGTTATACATTTTAGGATAGTTCTCGGCAAAAACATCCTGACAAATTTTGTGCGCTTCTTCACGCTGCTGTAGGCTGTCTAAAAATCACAATAGATAGTTGATCCCCCATCAAACACCGATAATGGAAGTTACAATCTGACGACTTCCAGAAGGCTACAATTTGAGGACTTTCACGTAGAAGGTTACAATCTGACGACCTTCACAACAACTAGTGAGAGCTCTAATTCAACAGCCTTCACAATCAACATCGGGAGTTACAATCTGACGACTCTCGTATTTTCAAGGAGCCAAGACGAAGATTACAAGAGGACGATCTGTGCAAAGCTCTAGCAAAAGAGACTACAAATTGACGGTCTCTTCATATTAGAACGCAGATATCTCTCAAACCGTAAGGAATTTGGCGAAACGGAGGAAGCGAACCAAAGCCTTTGGCTTGGTTCGGATGGCCCCGTCTCGTCGAGATAGCCGATTTTCATATATAATTCGTCCAATTCCGACTTACGGTTTGAAAGTTATGACCTGTTCTTCGCAGCAAGTTATGTTCTGAAGTCCGTCTGCAAGACTGGACTTCGTCAGAACATTGGACTTAGCCTGAAGCTCGCCAAGCCCGCCTAAGGTTCGCCTCTGCATTACAGAGTCAAAACGCACAGGTCGAACCAGCGTTATAACCTCAAAACGCAGAGGTTATCCTCGTGATATAACATCAAAACGCAGAGTTTTCAGGCCAACTGTGCGTTTTCAGGCCAACTGTGCGTTTACAGGCTCAACTGTGCGTTTTCAGCCTGAAACAAGCCAACTGTGCGTTTTCAGGCCAACTGTGCGTTTTCAGGCTCAACTGTGCGTTTTCAGTCTGAAACAGGCCAACTGTGCGTTTACAGGCTCAACTGTGCGTTTTCAGGCCAACAGTGCGTTTACAGGCCCAACTGTGCGTTTTCAGGTCCAGAAACGCACAGTTCGGGCCCAGAACGCTGTTTTCAGCGTTTGACTCGTTCAAGCACGATTTGAACGGTTCCAGAACCGTTTTCTCCCCAAGATTTTAGGGGATCACTACTAAAAATCGATCATGAAAGAGAGGTAGGGGTGCTAAACGTATCCGTATCCGAGGAAATATCTGTAGCCGTATCCGTTAGGATACATATATGGTTACTCAAATCTATAACCGATAGGATATGGTTATGGATATGGTTTTGTAGTGAAATATCTGTATCCGTATCCGAAATATCCGAATACATATTAGTCATACTCTTACGATAGTTTCGATTCTTAGATTATGGATTTGTGGTTAATTTTGATGATCAAGATGTCTAATCTTAACTTTTCAATTATATTGGGCATATTAACGAACTTTTTTGTATCACATGAACTATGTTTTTCTCAATACTATCTAGTTTTCTCATATCTGTTTTGTATCCGCATGCATATCCGCTTATATATCCGCATGTATATCCGTAACCGTATCCGATTTTAGCGGATATGGTTATAAGTTTTTCTTACCGAGGTATATCCGTATCTGTATCCGTATCCGAGATTGGTAAGCGGATATGGATATGGTAAGCATCATATCCGAGCCGTATCCGGACCGAATGCACCCCTAATCACTACCCTATCATGGAGAGATTTATGGGGGGCAGTTACACCCCATTAAACCCTCATTAAGGAGAGATTTAAGGGGGCGGTTACACCCCTAAATCCCCTATAAATAGGGGGAAACTCAACTGAGTTCAGGGGCTCTTTTTTGGCTGACTTTTTGGGGATCCTTGATCGGGCATCTTTGAGCTTTCTGCAGCAACAGAGAGCTTTGGAGATCAGCGACTTGAAGGAGCTCTTGAATCATTTTGGAAGGCTTTTATTGAAGCCCTTTGAAATTAGTCGGCCTTGGCTTATTAACCGACTTTCGGTTAAATCAACTCTTCCATAGAGTTTCAAACTCGTTCAGAGTTATCAACTCATTCAGAGTTATCAACTCGATCAGAGTTCAAAACTTGCTCTGCAAGTTCTTCTAAAACTCGTTCAGAGTTATTAACTCGTTAAGAGTTATTTTTTAGACTTGCCACGCAAGTTCTCCACATCGTCAAATCGTGAGGAGAAGACCACGTTCCAGTGAATCAAGACGTTCGGATCGTCAACGAGAAGCAAACTCGACACGAGCATTCGAGGGAGGCATCTCATCACCACCGTGAAGAACCCAGAATTAAACAAAGGGGAGAATCAAATTCATTCTCCTCTCTTTTGTAATCGGAATCCAAATTGTAATTGATTTTGAGAGGAATACAAGTCAATTTTTCTTTCATTGTCTTTTTACATCAAATTTCCAACAAACAGCTGCTCCAACAATACCTCAGCCCAGTGCTTCATATCTTCATATATTCTCCGTAATTCTGTGGCGGGGTCCTCCCTTATAGAATCCATGATTTTGGC